CACACGCTGGCCAGACTCTCTCATAGACCACGGAATCCCCAGCCCATGGGATTGTGATAAGGACCAAATGAAAGAAAGTGGGGGGGTGTCCTGACCGGAGGCGACCTACCCCAGGCAGGTTCACCATAAATACTCCTCTTTTGGCAGAAGTCCTGTGAGCCTCCTCCCAGGCTGCCTCCGAACACCTTGCCTCTGGGAGTCGTAAACTCTGTAACTGAATTCCTTGCAGCCATAAGAGGTTTCACAGCAACTTTATCCTCCAGGATAGAGGTGGAATGCCCCCTCCCTTCTCCAAGAGGGGAGGGGGCAGTCACAAGCCTGCTTAATTTAATTTAACGCACTATGGCTTGCCAGGTTGCCCCTGGTAACAGCTTCAGCGGCTGCTTCAGTTACTGCTTAAGTTACAACCAGAAGGATTTTTAAAGAGACAGTCCAAGGCCGAACACAGTGGCTCAAGCCTGTAATCCAGCAGTTTGGGAGGCCGAGGCGGGCAGATCACCTGAGGTTGGGGGTTCAAGACTGGCCTTACCAACATGGAGAAACCCCGTCTCTACTAAAAATACAAAATTAGCTGGGCATGGTGGCACATGCCTGTAATCCCAGCTACTTGGGAGGCTGACGCAGGAGAATGGCTTAAACCTGGAGGTGGAGGTTGCGGTGAGCCAAGATTGCGCCATTGGTCTCTAGCCTGGGCAACAAGAGCGAAACTCCGTCTAAAAAAAAAAAGAGAGAGAGACAGACAGTCTATTTTAGAGCCAGAATTGCAGCACAGAGTGAACATCCAACACCAGCTTCACCACAGGGATAGAGGAGTAAAGCCCAGGCACAGTGAGGCTTCTGACTAGATCTGTGTATTGCATTACCTCTGTTCCATATCCACTGACCCCATCTGCAACCCCACAAGCCCTCCTGCAAATGCAGCTCTTAAGCTGGATCTGATGAGGGACTACTTTAGGGATTTGTCACACAGATGTCACCCAACTAGCTACTTTTTTGAAAATCAATTTTAGTCATCAAGTTGAAGGGAAGGAGAGTTGACCCTTAGGAGTTGCCCCTGCAATTCAGGCATACTGCCACCAGGTGGTGGTATTGCTTGCTTAGTGAAAACCATAACCAGTCTCTTGAATTAATCAGTAATACTCCACAGCGCGCAGAGTGGTGGTGAAACCACTGGATTGTAAGCTCTGATGCTAACTAGTGTGGAACCTTAGGTAAGCCACCTCGCCTCTCTCTTCTCGGTGTCCTCGGATATCTAGTAAGGAGATTGATCAGGATAACTGAGTGTTGTGGACAAGGCTTAGGAATAGAATCATGGAGGCATGAGTCTAAGCCCCAGCTCTATCATGTACTAAGTGTGGTTTGGACACATAATTTAATTTCTTGCCACTCGAATACCAAACAAGAGAGTGGCTGGGAAAGTCCTGAGGACAACACATTAGTCTCCAACACTGGGGACCTGTGGAGGCAAGAAAGGTGCCTGGGACCCAATAGGGGACTGGAGATTCTGAGGTCCTGGGAGCATAGTGGGGAGAGGATAGCAGGGTGCCCCAGGATGGCTCCAGATTCCAGGGCCAAAGACCATGTTGCCTCATTGGGCACTGAAACATGCCACAGCAGACAAAGCAACCTCCTAGAGAACCCTAACCCCACTCAGCTCTCAGCTCTACCCAGACCAGGAGGAAGGGAACAGACATTTACTCTGGGCCAGGCACTGCCCTCACAACTCCTGAGAAGCCCATATGATTATCCTCCTTTGCAGATAAGGACATAACCTGCCAGGGGTAACTCATCCCCCAAGGTTGCCCATCTCATATGACCAGGCCTGCCAGGCACACAAACCTCAGCTCTTCACATTCCCACCCCCCAAGTCTACTACACCTGTTCTTGCTGGATGCTAGGCTCCCTCACCAGGAGCAAGGAAGGGAGAGTGGGTTCTCTTTCTCCCCACCATGACTCAGTTGAGCCAACCACAAAGCAGGTGAGGGACCAGAGGTCATGGGATCACTCACATAGAAGCAGCCAGGGGGCCGGGCACGGTGGTTCACACCTGTAATCCCAGCACTTTGGGAGGCCAAGGCGGGCAGATCACTTGAGGTCAGGAATTCGAGACCAGCCTGGCCAACATAGTGAAACCCCATCTCTAATAAAAATACAAAAACTAGTCGGGTATGGTGGCAGGCACCTGTAATCCCAGCTACTCGGGAGGCTGAGGCAGAATAGCTTGAACTCAGGAGGCAGATGTTGCAGTGAGCCGAGATTACATCACTGCACTCCAGCCTGGGTGACAGAGCAAGACTTCATCTCAAAAGAAGAAGAAGAAGGAGAAGAAGGAGAAGGAGAAAGAGGAGAAGGAGAAGGAGGAGAAGGAGAAGGAGAAGGAGAAGGAGAAGAAGAAGAAGCCAGGAAGCCTGAGGCACCACGTGCCCGTGATCCTTCGCATGGTCAGGTTTTGACACATCATGCCAATTTGGCCCACACTAGGTGCTCCATAAATCCCAGTCTCCTTCTTCCGTCCCAGGTCCAGTGTAAGTAAAGCAGATAAGGGTATCCAGAGTTCTGTACCTGCCTTTTTGCTTATTCCCACCTAAGTAACAGTATTACCCTTCAAGGTGATACAAATGTAAAAGCACACAGCAATCAGATTTTGGCATTCCTGAGCTCTAGCCTCTTTTTTTTTTTTTTTTTTTTTTTGAGACAAGGTCTCACTTTTTTGCCCAGACTGGAGTGCAGAGGTGCTATCATAGCTCACTGCAGCCTTAAACTCCTGGGCTCAAATAATCCTCCCATCTCAGGCTTTAGAGCAGCTGTGACTATAAATGTGCACCACTGTGCCTGGCTATTTTGATTTTGATTTTTGAGGAGACAGGGTCTCACTATGTTGCACAGGCTGGTCTTGAACTGCTGCTGGGCTCCAGAGATCCTCCTGCCTCAGCTTCCCAAAGTGCTCGGATTATAGGCATGAGCCACTGTGCCCAACCCCCCCAGCTCTCTCTCCTTCTATAGCTCCCCACTACCCTGCAGATGAGCTCCAAGTCCTGACCCTGGCACTCAGAAGCCCCTCCTGATTATGCCCCTGCTGGCTCTTCCCTTCACCCCTTACTATCAGGGTTCCAGTCCTTGGGCTGCAGGCAGACCCCAGCACACCTTGCTCGCTCTTCTCTGAGCTTTTGCACTTGATGTCCCATCCTCCTAGATTGCCTTTTCTCACTGTATTCACCTGAGTGATTCCTACTTGTCCTTGAGGACCCTGCCCTAGTACCTCCTCCTCTGGAAAACCATGGGGAAGTCCTTGGATTGCATAGGATACCTCCCCAGGCTCCCATAGCCCCCGTGTTCCTTCTACTCTAATTGTGTCTTTGGGTCTGGCTTTCCTGCAGGACCCAGAGTCCCTAAATGTGGGACCTGCCTTCTGTCTCCTGTCTTTATTGCCCAGCCGAGAGCCACACAGAGAAGCTACTCAGGGAATATTGACTGAGAAATGCAATTAGTGGGACCCCTTCTGGGTGGTCTGACTGGGACCTGGGTTCCAGACCCTGTCCTGAAGGGCAGTCATACCAGTTGGTGGGATCTGACTCATAAGGACCCCTCGCTTTCTTCCTCCCTCCAAATTCATCCAAGGTGTCCCCGGAGCAGCCACAGCCTAACCTGCTAGCATTGGGCCCCCCCCCGGTCCCCATTCACACACTCTGTGCTGCACACCCATCAGCTCCCCATCCCTAACGTCTCCAGGCCTCTGCTCATGGGAGCTCTCCATCTGGAGCCCACCCTCTGAAGTGCCAATGTGACCCAAGACCCTCCTTAAGCCCTCATCCCCCAACTGGGAGTGGCCCGCCTATCCCCCGCACTCCCTCTGTACCACTCTCATGGCCTTGATCAGACCTGGCTTCATACCACAGCTATTGGCAACCCGGTGTGGGGAAGCAAGCATGGGCTTTGGAAGCTGATAAACGGGGACCGGATCCCAGCTCTGGCACTCAAAAGCTGTGTGACCTCAGGCAAATCACTTTATCTCTCTGAGCTTCAATATGTTCCTCTATAAAATGGGGATAACAGCTACTTGATAGGTTTGTTGTGAGATGGAGAAGATGGGTGTGGATCCTGGCACATGCAGGCACTGAGCCGCATCCTATTATTGAAGCCTGGGTCTGCTTCCGCTGCCAGGTCGTGAGTGCGTTCGGGTCAGGGTGCAGGTCCCATTCAGTGCCACATTCCCAGAGCACCCAACGCAGGGCCTTATGCCGTAGGTGCTGACAAATGCATTCACCCCAGCTGCTGGGGATGGGGGTAGAGAGAAGATGGACCCCCCTCCCCCACAGCTGAGGAGGCCACAGTGGGGGTGGCGAGTGCAGAGTGAAGCCTCCAGATCAGGGACGGGAGATGAATGTGGAGGGAGGGTCTGGAGCCTGAGGGGGAGCTGCTGATATGCACTGGGGGTTTTATTGGTTTTCATTAAAATTCCTTCCTGAAGCCGGAGCAGCTACTCCCATAAATAACAGCATAAATATTTTATCTGGTGCCCAAGTCGCACAGCAAGGTTGGCAGGAATAATAATGGCAAAACAGTTCGGGGGGTCTTGGGCTTCAGCTGAGCTGGGTTCACTTAACATGCCCAAAGGGGCTTTCTCAGGAAGGTGAAGACTGCAGGGATGGCACCAAAGGGAGAGGCGGGTGGGCGTGAAGGAGAGGGTGGGCAGTGGGGTATGCGCCCTGGGGTTGGGGAGCCTGTGGAGGGTGTGGGAGGAAATGCTTACCACACCTGCTCTAGGATAGGCACCTCACTGGGGGTCCTTACAAAGCCTCTGTAGTCAGAGAAGTGAAGTGACTTGCCCAAGGCCACCCAGCCAGTCACGGGCAGAGCCAGGACTGTAATCAAGGGTGTTTAAGGTCAAAGCCCTTCCCACTGTGCCTGCTGCTTCTTGGGGTTCAGCAAGTGTGGGAGTTTATGAACAACGGCCAGAGTACCTCAGTAATGGCAGCAGGGGCTGTTCTCTGTTTTCCTAGATCCCGATGGAGGAGAAAAGGGGCTGGTATTTCACCATGGCAACACTCTACATCAGGTCAGGCAAGAAGGTGGCAGGGGTACGGGATGGTGGAGGGAGAGGTGTGGCCTGGTACCCAGTCAGCAGGGTAAGGGCAAAGGTGGCTGGGTCCATCCTGCTGGAAAGAGCTCCCCAAACCCCACCACCACCACCATGGGCCTGGGCAGGGCTGGCAGCACACAGGACAGCTGGGGGGGTGCCACCCAACCACATCTCCTTCTCGGCCACAGGCTAGATGGTATCTTCCTGGAGCTGGGCAGTGAGGAGCAGAAGAGGCTGCCCGCCTTCAACCGCACGTTGGCTCTGCTCCGGCAAGTGCTCAAGTCTGAGGACCCCCGCCACCAAGGTAGGGGCCCAGGGGATGGGTGGGACAGCAGCCTCTGTCCCCCGCCACCAGCCTGCTGGCATTGCACCCACCTCTGACACTACCTCCCTCTCTTGGCTCCTGTTTCTTCCTCCTTCGCTCTGTCCCCTACACTCATCTGTGCACCTCAAGGAGCCCACATACCTTGCCCAAGTGAACATGCCAACTACAAGTCACTGTGACTGCAGGCTTCCCCGTCTGCAGCTCGTGACCTGGAGGGTGAGAGGTAGTTTCCCCTGTTTCCAATTATTTATTGTCAGAAGATTGAAGCCTCCGTTGAAGAGGAGTTGAGTCATTTTTTTGCAGGGCCAGAGAGCAAGAACAGGGACTAGAACCACCAGAGCTGGTGAGAGCTGAAGTCAGAAGAGACATACATACCTGAAATGAGTTCCCCCCGATGACACACTGAACACAGAATAAGCACTAAAACGGGTTCACTAACCCCTCACAGGGCCCCTCTCTCCACCTTTGCTTCTCTCTGTCCCTGGCTAGTTGCCCTCAGTGATCTCACGCTACTGTCCGTTGCTTTGTCTTCACGGGCAACACCTAGGATGGAGATGGCCCCTTCCCTCTCTCCACCCTGCTGCTTCCTAGTGACCCTCTCCCACCCTTCACCCCCAGCCCTGGCCTGGTGCTACCTCGGGATGCTGCTGGAGCGGAATGACACCTTCTCCACCACCCCCATGGGCGTCCATGACTGCGGGTACTCGGGGACCGACCCTCTGGACTGCTTCGGCAAGGTATGTGCCCCCAGCCATACCCACCCTCTAAACTGAGAAGGAGCCTGGCACCCCAGCCTCTCCACCCAGAACCCAGGCTTCTTTGGGTATCAGTCCCCACCGCGTGGCCCACCCAGGAAGTACACTTACTCCAGACCTTGCTCTCCATCCTCTCTTCATTCAAAACAAATCTGGCCCCAGCCCATTTCTCCAGCCTTGAAACAGACCCTTAGACTTTTTCCCTTGAGGCCTCCATTCACAGTACTCCCTCTGCCAGGAGTTCCCTACCTCCCCACCCCCAGTGGCATAGTAAGTAGAATGACGAGTTTAGCTGGGGTCTCCTTGCCAGTCCTGCCCATAGGCTGTGTGACCCTAAGGTAAGTCACTTACAACAGGAAGCAGTCAATGACAATAGTGGGGGTAAGTGCTATCACCCAGGTAAAAACCCTATACTTTGTAAGGTTGGGGGATGAGGGTTGCCTCTGGCCCTTCCTCTCACCTGCCCCGGGAAGATGGGGGAGCATACACTGGGAAGGAGGAGTCTGACTGGGGTCTAGAAGGCTTTATTGGATGTGACAGGTGATGTGGTCATGGGCCGAGCTCTCAGGAGTTGAGTGCCAATGGGTTGTGCCCCAAGGTGTTAGGTTCTATGATATGACAACTTACTGGCAGGTGGATAAGGGTGGATATGGGTAAAGGGCACCGTGTTGATATGGATGTATCCAGAAATGGGGTTCCTGTGGTTCAGCACTGTTTAGCCAGCTCTGGCTAACGACCAAGCAAGTGGTTTGCTTTTGCACTCCTCCCTTACCTAGGCCATCGAGATTGCCAAGAACCAACCTCCCATCCTGAATCGCCTGGCCAAAATCTTCTACTTCCTAGGAAAGCAGGATATGGCCATTGGAACCTGTAACATGGCCCTGGATGTCCTACAAGATCCAGAGCTCAACTGGCAGGCGTACTGCACAAGGGCCAAGGTGGGTCAACTTCCTGCGCCACCTCACCCTGCCACTGGGAATCAGAGAACAAGGGCCATAGGCCAAGACCCTGTTGCCAGGGCCCAAGGGTCAGGGAGTCCTCATGGTGGAAGGGAGCTTAGGAGCCATCAAAAAACACAGTCGGGTTCTATACAGCTTTTTGTTTGTTTTGAGACAGGGTCTCACTCTGTCACCCAACTGGAGTATGGTGGTGCCACCATGGCTCACTGCAGCCTAGACCTCCTAAGCTCAAGCAATCCTCCCACCTCAGCCTCCCAAGTAGCTGGGACTACAGGTGCACACCACCGCACCCAGCTAATTTTTGTTTTGTTTCGTAGAGATGAGGTCTCATATGTTGCCCAGGCTGGTCTCAAACTCCTGGGCTCAAGCAGTCCTCCCACCTTGACCTCCCAAAGTGCTGGGATTCCAGGTGTGAGCCACTACACTCGCCCTGTAAGGTTTTTGAGTGAAAGAATGCAGAAGCCTCCACTCACTGCAGGAATCCCTTCTACAATGCCTGGTCAGTGAGCCCCCAGCCTCTTCTGGATTGGCACAGGTGGAATCAGACTGATCAGAATTGAAATCTAGCTTCTCTACCTTGTGGAACTTGTGGCAAGTCACTTACCGCCCCCCCCCCAACCTCAGTTCCCAAATCTGTAAGATATAAATAAGAACACTTTCCTTAAAATGTTGTCAACAGACGCAGTGAGGTAGCATCTAAAGCACAGTGCCTTGGACATAGGAGGTGCTTTTCTGAAAGCCAGTAGAGGTCATTTAATATAGTGGATCAGAGCTCTGGCTCTGAACACAGACAGCCTTGGTTCAAATCCCACAACACCACGTGCTATGGGACCTTTGGCAAAATACTCTTGCCCAGATTCTAAGCCTCAGTTTCTTTATCTGTAGATGATAATATGTCTCATAGAGTTGTTAAGAGAATTACATTAGATTTTGTATGTAAAACTCAGCATCAAGCACACAGTAAGATTTCATAGGAGACTGACTGCTACTAATTTAATATTAGGCATATTTGTGAATTATCTCACTGTCTCTTGAGGCAGTCCACTGCATAGTCATTTAGCTCTGCAAGTTACACACTTAGTTGAGTGCTGTCTCCCGCTAGCTTCCTGCACCGGTCCCAGACCCGCCCCCTAGAGCCCACACAGAGCCCATGTGCTTGAGGAAGCAGACTCGGAGCTCCAAGTTTACTTCACTGCAAGCCGAAGAGTCCCCCCATCCCCTTATCTTCTCCACTACCATCCACATGACCTAGTGGCAAATCCTCTCCCAGTCTTGGTCTCAGTGGCTTAATTACTTTGCCAGCAGGTACGAGGCAGGAGTGAAATTCCTTCACTGTCATGGATGTGGTTATTATTAGAGATAATAATATTAACCATGATAGTAAATAATAAAATATTTCTATAAAATTCTGCATTTCATCAAGCACTTTCATATTCGTGATCTGATTTAATGCTCACAAGAATCCTGTGAGAGAGGCCAGACACGTGCCATCCTACATATGAGGCCACATAGAACCAGGGAGGCAGGGAACTTCCCCAAAGAACTGCATTCAATAATCAGAGACTCCAATTTTGCTCTCCTCCCTCCATCACCATCTGGTGTCTTATGATCCTGGCCTCTCTGTGGTGCCAATGGTCACTCAGATGACCAGAGGAGCACAGGATGGTGGAGAAGAAACGGTGAGGAGGAGGGAACTCACACTATCTGTGTAAAAGCCTCAGTCCATGCTGCGACCCATAAGCATGGCCCTGGGCCCATGAGCTCTCTACCCCACCTCCCTCTGTTCATGCCTCTCTCAGTCTTCCAACCCTACTGGCCGGGGCCTCTGCCTGGAATGCTCTTCTCCCAGATATCTGATTGGCTTCCTCCCTCACTTCCTACAGGTCTTCTAGTGGCCATCTAATTGAAAATATCAAAGCCATGCAACATTTAATTTTATATATATATTTATATTATTTATATATATTTATATAAATATATTAATTTATTTATTTTTAAAATTCTTCTAGAGATAGGGTCTCACTCTGTCACCCAGGCTGGAGTGCAGTGGCATGATCATGGCTCACTGCAGCCTTGAACTCCTGGCATCAAGTGATCCTCCCACCTCAGCCTCCCAAGTAGCTGGGACCACAGGTGTGCACCACCACACCCGCCCAGCTAATTTTTAAAAAACTATTTGTTGTAAACACAGGGTTCTGCCTATGTTGCCCAAGCTGGTTTCAAATTCCTGGGCTCAAGCAATCCTCCAGTCACAGCCTCCCAAAGTGCTGGGATTATAGGTGTGAGCCACCACACCTCGCCACTGCCAACGTTTTATGTTTTCCTTTCCTGGTTTAGTTTTCTTAGCATTAATCACTCCCCTACACACTATTTACATCTTTATCATGTTTATTTTCTCTCTCCCCAAAAACATATAAGCTACTTGAGGGCAGGGATTTTTGTGGTTTTGTTGTCTACTGCATTCTCAATGCCTGGAACAGTGGCTGGCACAGAGGAGGCTCTTAGTGAATATTTGCTGAACGAATGAATGAACTGAGCACCTTCCATATGCTAGCTCCTGACTAGAATATGTTCTTTCAGACATCATGGTAATTCCCCCAGGAAGATATTCGCGTACTAATTTTTCAGGTATGGAAATGAGGTTCAGGTTCATAGAGTTGTGGAACTCCCTCCAGATGACATGGCTAATAGCTAGGGGTTGAGGGAAGGACTGAAATTCAAACCCTAGTCCAACTGACCCGAAAGCCAGAGATTCATCTCTGCCTGCCTCCATGATGCTGTCTTATAACCAAAGCCCTTCTGATGACTATAAAGCATTAATACCTTCAACAACAATAGCCCTCTTTCCCTCGCTTCCTCCTACCCAACCCAAACCCACCCCTCCTAAACCTCCAAACTTTGTAAATGCTCTAAGTGTGAGGAAAATGGAGGAATTAAGGAAAGCAAGGGTCTGAGATCATTTGTAATGTGATGCTTGTCAGTTGGGGCTACCTGCCATTCTTCCCACACTGCTTGTTGACATAGACTCTCCCCAAATTGGTGCTGCCATCCTACCTAAAATAATCCTCCCCAATCATCTCTATCCTATTGTCATGTTTATTTTGTCATAGCACTTACCACTTGAAATAGTACTGTTTACTACTGACCGCCTCCCCTACTGGAATGTTAAGTTCCACCAGAGCAGGGACCTCATCTATCTTGTTACCACGGTACCTCCTGTACCCAACATAGGAACTGGCACATGGTGGGCTCTCAATACATATCTGTTGAATGAGTAAGGGACTTTTACTTCATCCTACTCACTCATTGCGCAGACAGGGAAACTAAGGACCAGAAAGAGGGTGTGGCTAGCCCAAGTTGGTCCAAGGCTAGGACCTAGGACTCCTGGGTCCCAGCCTCAGGGTCTTTCTACTGCAACACAGAACCTCCCTGGCTGCTGTTAAAAAAAAAGACTGGGTTCATTTAGAACAGAGAGGAGGACAGAGGCTCTTGCCTGGATCATCTTTCCTAAAAGCTGGCTCTCTGTTGGCAGATCCACATCAGAGCCTACCTGCACGACCTGGAGCGGGCCAAGATGGGTCTTGGGGGCATGCCTGACAGGAACCACCTGGCCTGCGCCAAGGCTGACCTAGAGGAAGTGGTCAGGGTGTGCCCAGGCTTCAAGGCGTACCTGGACATCGGGCAGGTAAGGCAGTCTTTTGGCTTAGCCAATAGCTGAGCAAGAATCTGTTTACTCCTTGCCAGGCTAGGCCAGGGCTAGGCCAGGATGCAAAGGAAAAAGTTGCACTCCCTCATAAGAGTACCCATCTCCTCCAGCCATGGTGAGGATTGAGTAAGATGTGTGTTTAGCATTTAGAACAAGGCCTGGCTCTTCCTAAGCACTCGGGAAGTGTGGGCATTATTCTTGATCTAGAAGATATCTATTCTCTGTGTTCAGGGAATGTTTACCAAGAAGTGACAATATCATAAGTTTAGATACAAGAAAACCGAGATCCAGAGATTGACTTACTCCAGGTTACATGGCTAGATGTGAAGGGGCTGGAACTGGAATCGGGGTACTCTTTTCCTAGAGGAGCAGGAATAAAACGTGTGATTAATAATTGTCGATGGAGAGAGGGTGGGAATGAGTGAAGGAATGGATTTTTTTTTTTAAGCAAGCGTGGGGCGGGAATGAGCATGGAGCCGGGCCTGCAGTGAAGGGCGTGTCCCCCACCCCAGGTCTACTACTACATGGGCGTGGACGCAGTGCAGGAGCTGCTGGCGGTGGACGAGGCGGCGCTGAACCAGGCGCTGGTGTTCCTGGCCAAGGCGGGCGAGTCGGAGCTGGGTGCCACGCTGCCCGAGCTGCAGCTGCTGCGCGGCAAGTGCCTGCGCATCAAGGGCGAGGACGCCAACGCGGCGGCCTGCTTCAAGCGCGCGGTGGAGCTGGACGACGCCGGCTCCAGCCACACCGAGGGCTTCGGCTGCCTGCTCGAGGCGCTGCTGGCACAGTGGAGCCAGGCACAGCTGAGCGACGGCGAGCTGGGCCGCGAGGTGGACGCCTGGCTACGCCGCGCCCAGGACAAGTACCCTGCGGCGCGCCTGCGCCAGGAGCTGCAGCGCGTGTGGCGCGGGCACACGGACGAGGTGCTGGGTCTGGCCCGGGCCCTGGTGGCCCAGGGACGGCTGGCGCTGGTGCGGCTGCTCTTTGAGACTATGGAGCGCGAGGGCGAGGGCGCCAGTGCGCCGCGGGACCGCCGGGCGGTCTCCTTCTAGGATGCGGGTGCCCAGGCCGGAGGCTCCCGGGGACCCCGCCCAGGCCCCGCCCAGCTGGTGGGACCAGGTCTGGACGGACCCCCTGCCTTAGGCTGGCCTGGGAGCGGAGCCAGTTCGATTCTCTGTCAGGAATTGTGAATGGGGATGTTGCGACACCCGGGCGGTTTGAAATGCCCACCCAGACTGGAGGGCCTGAGAGCAGAAGAGGCTGGGAGCAGAGGTGAGAAAACACTGGGAAGCTGCCAATTGAGGGACAGAATTTTCTAGACATACAGGTAAAATAAGATGGTTGTGAGGCTCCTGAGAGAAACAGAAGACAGTTACCTCAGTGTGTCTCTTTTCTAGTCCAGGGGCTCAGTCCCTCAGGCCTGCGTGCCTGTCTTTGGACTCCCGTGGGCTTCACTCTATCCTTATGTGAAAGTCCCCTTTACTTTAGTTGACTAGAGTGGGGTCTCAGCTCCTGCAGCCAGAAAAGCCCTGGCTAAAGCAGAGGGCATGACTGCAACGCTAGTGAGTTACGGAACAGCGCCCTAGCCTAAGCCTGGTGCTCTGGGCTCATTCCTACCTCTCTGCCACTTTTCCAGCAGGCCTCCTCCTTGGTCAGCGTGGCCTGAAAGGCCTCCCAAACGCTCTGAATAGAGCCCATCAACAGAACATTCACTTGACTTCCCTGCTCTTGGGGGAACTAGGAGCCCCACCCTTTAGGAGGTGCAACCTGCCCCCAGTCTTTTTTTTTTTTTTTTGAGACAGAATTTCGCTCTTGTTGCCTAGGCTGGAGTGCAATGGCACGATCTCTGCTCACTGCAACCTCCGCCTCCTGGGTTCAGGCAATTCTCCTGCCTCAGCCTCCCAAGTAACTGGGATTACAGGTGTGCACCACCACACCTGGCTAATTTTGTATTTTTAGTAGAGACGGGGTTTCACCATGTTGGTCAGGCTAGTCTCAAACTCCTGACCTCAAGGGATCCACTTGCCTCAGCCTCCCAAAGTGGTGGGATTACAGTGTGAGCCACCACGCCTTGCCCTGCCCCCAATCTTGACTATTCTACTAATTCTAAAGAAAATCTTGGAATTTTACACTCTTAGAATCATAGTCATAGAATTTTTTTTTTTTTTTTGAGACAGAGTCTCACTCTGTCGCCCAGGCTGGAGTGCAGTGGCCAGATCTCAGCTCACTGAAACCTCAGCCTCGTAAGTTCAAGTGATTCTCGTACCTCGGCCCCCTGAGTAGCTGAAATTCCAGGCTGTACTCACTGCTTTGCTCATATCCTCACTCATTACCAGGGACAGGCCAGCACCCCTGCATTGCATCTCACATATCCACTGATGGGTAGAGAACAGACTGAAATTCAGTGTCTTAGAGATCGCACAGTGCAACCCCCTCATTGTGCAGATGGGAAAACTGAGAGCCATAGAAGGGAAATGGCTTGCCCAAAGCCATACTTACTGTTTTCCCCACACTTACTTTCACACTTTTTACCACAAATTTACTTTCACCATTCTTCAGGTTTGGAAAAATACTAATAAACTAATCAACTCTAAAGTATTCAGTGTTTATATGTTAAAGGTTTGTGTGTCACTTGTTACATGGGTCACTCTGATATCCACTGGGACAGTGTTTCAGCGCTAATGGTGGCATTCCAGGTACCTGTGAAATCTGGCAGGGAGGCCACCCTAAGGCTCCTGAATTCTACCTCATGTCTCACCATGGCTCACCACTTTGAATGGTGACATTCTCTCTCACCCTCTTTCTCCTCTCACCACCACGGCAGCAGAGGCCAGAAGGTGACTCCACAGCAGACCACACACACCCCTGTCCACTTCTAGCCCCCAACCACCCCCATCCCTCTTCTGCCCAAGACTGTGACCCATGACTGTCCCTAGGATGGGAACCCATTTCTTTCTTCTCCTTCCTTAAACAAACAAACTGAATTTAAGGCAGTCTGCTGGCAAAACTTAGAGGCTGATGAAGTTTGTCTTTTTCCCCAGGGTCCCCAGTTTGTTTGTTTCCTTTCTTGTCTTTCCTGTCCCCAAAGGTATGCATTTCTCCCTCCATTGCCTCCCTGTCCTTTCATAACTTTTTCAGTAAACTTTCTGATCATCTCATTCATCCTGATTATATAAATAGTTAACACACGCCCACTATAGCTTATCTCAGGAGTATCTGTATATTAACAAAAAGCCAAAGAGAGATAGGAAACCCCATTTCCCAGACTGCCTACTCTGTGCTAATCTCATGTAATCTCACTTAATGTAATCTCATGTTGTAATCTCACTTAATGCTCTCAACAGCTCTGAAGGTTAGGTATTAGAATCCTCATTTTACAGATGAGAAAATTGAGACACAGAACAGGGTCATGGGTAAGTATGTGAAGGGCCAAGATTTGAACCAGACCAGCCTCGTTCAGTGCTCCCTCCTGGAACACGGCCCTGTGCAAGAGCTGTGTCATCTTCGGTCTGGAGTTGGGCCTCTTCCGTGCCCTGTGAGCACCAACCCTACCTGTTACTTTACCCCTGATTACTGCTCCCACACTGCCTTACCTTGGTGCCTTTGTCCACCCTTTTCCTCAACTGGCTTTTTTCCTGTCATTTCTACCCCAAATGGTCAGCTCAAAGGCACCTCCTCCAGGAAGTCTCACACATCCTTCCAGCTCTCATTAATCACTCCGTTTCACGCATGGAGACCTCTTGGGCATTTTGTCCCACCGTGTTGCATTTCTTTCCTTCTCTTTGCATGTCCATTGCCCCCACTCGACTCTGGGTTCTTCATAGCAGGAACCACAACCCATTTGGCACCATGGCCCGCAGTACACTTGGCATATAAAACAGGTTTAGTTTTGGATGTTGAACTGAGTAAACGCCCAGCAGTGATGTGGCACGTCAGTCCCAAAGATGTGCTTCCATTACCAGGTCCACATGACCGAGGCTGGGGCCAGCTCTGCAGCCCAAGGACCCTTGCAGTCTGGAGCTCAGCCAAGGAACATGACCTTGCTTCCTACCTCCTATCCAGCCTCACGCCAGTTCCCCAATTCTGTGATTGGGAAACTGAGGCCCAAAGAGCAGCAACTTGTCCAAACCGCCAGACTCATTGCATTAGTCCCTTCTCGCATGGCTACAAACATTTGAGACTGGGTAATTTATAAAGAAAAGAGGCTTAATTGACTCATTTTCCTCAGGCTGTACAGGAAGCATGATGCTGGCATCTGCTCAGTTTCATGGGGGGCCTTAGGAAACTTTCAAATCATGGCAGAAGGTGAAGGGGAAGCAGGCACGTCTTACATGGCCAGAGCAGGAGCAAGAGAGAGGGGCGGGGGTGCTACATACTTTTAAACAACCAAATCTGGTGAGAACTCTATCATATCAACAGCACAAGGGGGATGGTGCTAGACCATTCATGAGAAACCTCCCCCACAATTCAATCACCTCCCACCAGGCCCCACCTCCAACATTGGGGGTTACAATTTCACATGAGATTTGGGTGAGGACACAGAGCCAAACCATATCACTCATGGTACAGCGCTGTCTGCCCTTTTAGGGGTGCCTGCTTCCCAAGTTCACTTCTGTCACATTCAGAAAGACTACAGGTTTTCCGTTCACTTACTCAACAGATATTTACCAAGTGCTGATCAAGTGCCAAGCATACTGCCAAGCTCTGGAGCCACAGTGGGGAACAAAACAGACCCTATCCTTGCCTTCAGGAGTTCACAGTCTAGGCCACGGTGAGCACGTTATACTGGGCTCCAGGGACCAGTGGGAAGCCTAAGAGAAGCTACTGAGGGTTTTAGCTGGCAACCCCAGTCCCTCCACACTGGCCATACTCATCCTGGGTTAGTGGCCTTTCCACAGCCCAATGGAGAAGAGGGCATGGCTGTTCCCAGACCTTGGGATTTGGCCTATGGCTGCCGCCTTCAACAAGTCACTGCTAAGGCCAGGCCTTGCAGTCCCAAGGAACTGCAGCTTCAATGGATGAGTGATGTTTAAGTACAGCTTTGAGCCCTGTGGGACACCCCTGCCCACTGGGCCGCTGGAAGGATAACTGTCAAACAGCGGAAGCAGCAGGAAGTCCTCGAGGGAGCCCTACAGAGTGAAAGCCTTAGTGACCCCATAATCAGAATAATGAAGATGAATCACACCTTGTTCTGCCTGCTCACTCCCTCTATGTCATGCCATCATCAGGCAGCCAGAAACTCCTGTTCAGACAGCAGGGGCAAGGCATGTTAAAGATCGTGAAAATGGCTGAGATTTCTCAGTTACAAGTTTCTAGAGTCTCAGAGTTGGAAAGAACCTTAATCATAAGCTTTTTTGCACCCCCCACCCCCCATCTGGAGCAGACTCCTCTCTATAGTGAGTCTTCTGAAAGGAGGGTCTAGTCAACACTTGCATGCCTCTGGCAGACAAACAGCTCACTACCTCATGAAGGAATCATTTTTCAACAGGTCTAAGTCTTCTGAGTTTGTCCTTCTATTGAGTTGAAATCCATAATTTTCCTTGGTTCAAGTTCACCTTCTCGAGCCATATAGAACAGTCCCTAATAAGCAGAGTGACCTTGAACAAGTTACTTTCCCTCTGTTTTGGCACCTATTGCAGTGTTTGAGCTGTTCAGAGGGTGGCTGGCTACTCTGCCCGCAGCCAGGCTGAGCTCTGACCTGGCCACCCAGCCTGGAGCCTGCACAGAGTGGGTGCTAGAAGCTGAAAGCAGAACAGAATAGGGCTCCTCTCCATCCCTAGCCAGACCCCAAGGGAGCACCCTGTGTGGATGATGGTGGCTGGATGCCAAATGAAGTGAAATATCTCCTTTTCTCGGGCTGTTAACTTTTTTTCTTGTTTAAGGAAGGGGAGGATAATGACATTTAGCACTTTACAACTCAGCAGTAAAATGAGCAGATGGAAACAGATCCCCAGCACTGCGGGCATGCTTCCAGTGAGAAACCCTCCCCGGCTCCTGGGGCCGGAGTCTGTGGCGGGGCTTGCTGATGGGGTTAGAGATACAGCGGCTTCCCTCCTTCTCCCCAGTTCCTCCTCCCGCACAGCACCCAAGGCTGCACAGCCGGCTGTACACCTGCTCTCACTTCCCACTTCCTTGCCTCTGCTCCCCCTGCTCCACTACCTAAGGCACCTTTCCTGCTTCCCAGGTCTCATTGGAATACAACCTCTGTAGTGTTTTGTTTTTTTGTTTGGTTTTGTTGAGTCTCACTCTGTTGCCCAGGCTGGAGTGCAGTAGCACAATCTCGGCTCACTACAACCTCCACCTCCTGGATTCAAGTGATTCTCCTGCCTCAGCCTCCCAAGCAGCTGGGACTACAGGTGCATGCCACCATGCCTGGCTAATTTTTGTATTTTTAGGAGAGACAGGGTTTCACAATGTTGGCCAGGCTGGTCTCGATCTCCCTACCTTGTGATTCGCCCACCTCGGCCTCCCAAAGTGCTGGGATTAGCATCATTCCCATTTTGCAGGCAAGGAAACTGAGGCTCAAAGAGGTTAAATAACTCTCCTGAGGTCCCTTTATACGGCATCGAATGGCAGGCAGGCTAAAGAGTACTAATGAATGGCCTTTTAATTACTTGGGGTTTAGATTATTTTCTCTTCTATCACATATGTTGCTCTATACACTGAATACATAAAATTAGGATGGATGTTTTGTGTTTGTGCTTCCAAACCAGTCAATAGTTCTGTGGTGAGGCTTGTTCTATTTTGGCATGTAAATTGTTTCATTAAACTTGCAGCTCCTCTGTGAGTTTTATTTGTCACCCACAAAATAAAATAAACAAGCGAAACAACTCTTCTTGTACAGGAGATTCATTGTTTCACCTGCCCAGCCCCCTCCCTGCTGGGAGTGGCATACCTCATCTTGGTGGGCTACTAACTGCCCCTCCCCCTCACTATGAGTGGCGGTGGAGGTTGCCAATAATAATACTCCGCCCCCTGACCGCAAGAGCATGCACGTGACCCAAGCTGGGCCAATCAGAGTCCTTCCCAGAGAGTTTTCCAACTGGGCGCAAGAGAAAGAAAATGCTCTCTGCCTTTCTGCTGGCACAGCTGTTAGTGACCGCCCCACTTAGTCTTAGCGCTGAGCGTCAAAGACTTGAAAAACAGTATCTTAAACAAGATGGGGGCTTATCCTACAAGGTCAGCCCAAGTATCACTAAAGTGCCCTGCCCACATTCCCTCTGCCCTCATGCACCAGGTGCGTGCCCTTCATCCTACCGCAAGCATCTGTCACTCTCAACCGAGGGCTCTCTCTTAGCCCAAGCAGACGGGAAGCACTTAGTGTGTATGTGCTGACAAAATATCTGGGTGGTCGGGTGGCCCCAGGAGCAGTCTTCCACTAATAATGGTAAATGGACATTGGAGGATAAATACCCCAGCCTCCTAAGCCCTGAGAGTAGGATAATTCTGAGGCAGTCTGGCATTGTCTCCTAGAGGGACTGAGGTCCCCAGAGGGATTGAGGCCCAGTTGTCTGCAGCAAAACCTGCTCATAATCACACCTTGTGTTCATTTTCCTCGCCTCTTATTTTTCCACTCCCCAACAGTGCTTCCTGGG